AATTATAATAATAATAATAATAATAATAATAATAATAATAATAATAATAATAATAATTATAATATAATAGTAATGTTAATAAATAATAACAATAATGATAACAAAAACAATTATGATGATGATAATAATAAGAATGTACCCACCTGTATCCTCTTCAAATGAACTATATCCTGGATTATCCATTCTTAGAAACTGGTTTGCTCTCTCCTCCATGTTTGTACATGTGTACACTGCACAGTTCACAAAATCAACAGAATCTACGGAAAAGTACATTATGTGCAGGAATGTACAGAAGTGTACTGGAAGTACAGGATATTCACTATGTATTAGCTTTCTCACGAACTAAATGTAAAAGAGATTTAAAATTTTAAATTTTTAACATTCACAATTTTCACAATTCTGAAATATCACTATGCCGACGGATGTTTTTCTCCGTGGTGGTGGAAATATTTTTTAACGTCTTATAGTTAGAAAGTTGTCAAGGAGTTTGGAATTTTTAACTTTTATAAACATTTTCAGATTTTTTTCATGATCTTTAAATAATTAACAAATCTGTAGAGATTTGCTGACTAAAAATTCAAGAAAGATTACGTTATTTCGGATTGATAATTGTTTGAAAAATATTTTAAACTTTCAGACCAATATTTCTTTTAAACGCATTTTTTAATAAATGGCGAGTCTCGTTCTTACTATACAGGATTTATTATTGACGTGGGGAGGAAAGTAATCCAGTTAAAAAAATATAAAATCTTAATCAGAAATTTACGCTTTGTAAGTAATTTTAATCAATTTAATTTTTAAATTGCAACAATTGTTAAAACTTTTTTATATCCAAATGTTACTGTCATGACAAAAATGTAACAATAGAATTAAATCGTTGTAAAAAAAAACTGTTTCTCTGGTTTTGGACAAAATTAAACTGCTGATCATAACAGATGTTTAAATAATTCTATTTGCCCTGTTGGCCACATAAATATTATAATACAGCACATTTATAAATGTTAAACATATTTTTTTTTTAAATTACAAATTATGACAATGATTTAAAGGTTATCTTTTTNTAACTAGTAATTTCTTTTTGTTCTTAAATTGCTAATGTTCCTATTATTGTTCCTGTTCCTAATACTGTGTCCGACCCACCTTAAATCCCTGTCCTAATCCTATATTTTTGTTCCTAATTCCTGAACAATCTTTTTATTGTTCCTAAATCCCTGTCCTAATCCTTTATTTTTGTTCCTAATTCCTAAACAATCTTTTTATTATTCCTAAATCCCTGTCCGAATCCTTTAATTTTGTTCCTAATTCCTGAACAATCTTTTAATTGTTCCTAAATTCCTGTCCTAATCCTTTATTTTTGTTCTTAATTCCTGAACAATCTTTTAATTGTTCCTAAATTCCTGTTCGAATCCTTTAATTTTGTTCCTAAAACTTAAAAATCTATTTTATTAACCTTTAGTCATTAATTTTGACTCTTTTTGAGTCTTTTAATTTAAGTCAAAAAAAATGTTCGCCTCCAGCACGGTTTTTTGTTCCTAATTATTATTTTTTTTGTTCCTAAACAATCTTGCCCCCCCCCCTCACTTAAATCCTGTATCCGCCCCTGATTGTAGGTAAATTTTAATTTTTAATTTGGTTTTTTGGTTTCTACATCATATTTGATTATCTCCAAGATTTAACGCTCAAATACGCACATAATGCTCGAAAAACCTAGTGTTTTCTGTATGCAAATTTTTATTATTTCTTTTCAAATTTTGTTTGTAGCAAATATTATCATTAATATTCCTCCATTATTTTCTTCTTTTTAAGAATGCCGCGTAAAATTCTTAAGAGGTTTTATCCTCGATAATATAAAGCCGAGAAACCGCCCGCCGTGCTGGGTCAACAAATAACAAACAGCTGAGCAAAACTGCAAAATAAAAAAAGACAGACTTTAGCAAACTAGTAAGACTTCGGTATATTCCTAGAGAACGATTTTTGGACCCCGAGCCCCCCCCCTCCTATCAATTTTGTACATGCAGCTTTCT